ACTGTTTTGATTTTATATTGAAACGCATCGCCAACCAGTGTAGAGAAAAACAGATGTGGTACGATCCCATCACTTGTTAATGCCTTGGGGATATTGCTTGTCTTAGGATATTTAAGGCTTGTTAAAGTGCAGAAAAGTGAAGATCGAACAAAATAAAGGCTTGTATGAGATTTTTGATTTTTTTAAAACTAGGTAGGTGAAATCCAAGCAATGGTTTAGGACATGACAAGCTTAGTGGAATGTGGATGAAATGTAGATGTGGTTATTAAACCTGCTCAGAAAACTGTTGAAGGCCACGTGTGTTAATGTGCATCTGTCTTCTTTAATATTTGTGTCCTCGTGTGTCAGGTGCACTTAGTTCTGCTGCAGTGGGTTCCTTGGTTTCTGCGGATGAAGCGTCCTGGAGAGGGAGCGGAGCCGTCTCTTTCCAACTTCCAGGCCGACTGTCAGAGCAAGAACCTGTCCTCTCCTACTACCACCACTACCACCACCCACCAACCCCACACCAGTGCCCTCTATCATCCCCCAGAGCCTCAACTCCCTTCAGGCCAGCCTGGCTCAGCTCAACCACCCAATGTCCCACCCAGGATCCCACCGGCCCGGCTCTCATACTGGTATCCTCCCTAATATCAGAGACCCTGGCCCCAACCCACATCCACAGCCCAACGGCCATCTCCTGTATATGGGTTTCCAGACCTTCCAGACCACGGCAGAGCTGGAGCAAGTTCAGGGAGGCAGAACCATGAGTCACGGCAGGGTGAACAGTGGAGTAGGTGGAGGCGAAGGAGAGGGAGCAGCAGCCGGAGCGCATACTGGAGATACACCAATCCATCACCACCTCCAATCTTCCAAGTTTAGGAGCCCCCCACTGGAAACTCATCTGTCCATAGACCCCGACCCGTCAACCACAGCCTCTGGACCCTGCGGCCTGGAGACTGGGTCTGCAGCAGGGAGATCAGCCGCTATGCAGAACCACAGCGGGATGTTTCGATCTGTCGCAGTGGACCACCAGCTGCAGGAGCTGCTGGTGGAGGTGCAGTTTTTAGTGGATCGCGTTAAAGAGCAGGACCGGCTGGTCAGCTTGGCAGAGCAGTGGCAGTTTGCTGCAGCTGTCATTGACCGCCTGTGCCTGATGGGATTCAGTATTTTCAACATTATTTGTACCATCGCTATCCTCATGGCCGCACCCAACTTTGGGGAAGCTCTGTCGAAAGACTTCATCTGACACACAGAGGGATTTGAGAGAGTGGAAGATGTAAAGGTGTGATACAGATGAGGGTTTGTTGGAAGCACAAGTGCTGTTAATGACACTGGGACATACAACAGTAAATAGTTCCTATAAAGCTGGAGTGGGCTGTGGTACTTGTGGATTGGAATATGATAATGCTCATTCAGTGTTTACTGTTCACATATTTTCTTTTGCAATGGTTTCTATGGAAGTGTTATTTATGTAAAAGGTAACCAAAGTTGTTATTTAGAGGTGAAAAATAATCCATCTTGTGTTTGGGATCTGCTACTAAATATAATGGGTTCTACCTTGACTCATTCCACACCCTTTCACCAAATGTCATGAATTTTGGACCAACATTTTTTCTCTACTCGAGCTGACAAAGCATATCGTTCTTGGCAGAAGTCAAAAGTAAAAGAAGCGTCTCATATATTGATCATTTTGGTGAAGTTTCAACAAAAGCATTTTTAACTGAAACCTTGATGATGAAGGTTTGTGTTTCTTTTGTTTTTATCCCAGTCAACAAATTAAGAGTTTGTTGGAATAGTATTGTAATTGAGGATCCTTTAGGAAGATCATCCTAGAATGTGTGAAAACAGGGAAGCATGACTTGATTTGATCAATACTGAATTTGTTATAAAGTCTTTGTACTGCCATCTTTGAATGCTTCATACAAATGCAGAGAAACTTGACACTGATGTGTTGCATGTAAACCTGCTTTTCCATACAATACAGACCTGAATATCTGTATGCTATTGTGTGATACTAAAACTATTATTTATACTAAAGTACACACATTTCTGTTTGCACTGATGAGCTCCTTTCCGAGATGTAATTGTTTTTTAATTCTCATAATATCCTTATTTAACTTTTGAATTCTTCTATTACATTAAAAGGTTTTCACAATGTTTAATTTTCAAGAGTATGTCCAAAGTCTTGTTATAAGTATTTCTCCACATGAATATTATTTATCACAATAACACAGCCTGAACATCCTCCACATATTTGGATGATGACACTGGT